ATATATGGCATATAGATATCCAATTATCTAAAAGTGGATGGCAGGATCATATAGTAGGTGGCTGTTCAACATAAGAAACTGTCAAATTGTTTGCAAAGAGGTTGCATCATTTAACATACCCACAAACGGTATAAGAGTGCTCCTGTCCCACCATATCCTTACCACAGTTGGTATGGCCAGTCTTTTTGACTTTTTTCATTCCAAACAGATGTGTTATCCCATTGTGGTTTTCATTTACATTTCCTAACAATTAAAGACACTGAGCATCTTCCCATGTGTTTTTTATCTATATATTTCCATAGTGAGGTGTGTTCGAATCTTTTGCTGCTTTTCAAAATTGGGTAGTTTTATTATTAAGTTTGGACAGTTCTTTATATATCCTTGATTTATCAGATATGATTTTCAAATATTTTTTCCCAGCCTGTGATTTGCCTTGTCATTCTCTTAACAGTGTCTTTTAAAGAGCAGAAGCTTTTAATTCTTATACAGTGATTTATCAATGTCTTTTTTTATGGATCATGCTTTTAGTGTCAGATGTAAGAAATCATTCCCTAATCCAACTTTTTCTTCTCAAAGTTTTATCATTTTAGGCTTTACATTTAGGTCTTTGATTCATTTTTACTTAATTATTATACACGGTTTGAAGTAGGGGTTGAAGTTCATTTTATGGCATATAGATATCCAACTGTTCCAGTACTGTTTGCTGAAAGGACAATCCTTTCTCCACACACACAAAAATGCCATTGTAACCTTGTGGAAAATCAGTTGTCCATATATGCATGTTCTGTCTTCTTTTTTTGTCTCTATTCTATTCCACTAATTGTTTTCTTTTGATGTCAATACCATATTGTCTTAATTGCTGCAGCTTTATAAATCTTGAAGTCAGGTAGACTTCCAACTTTGTTGTTTTTCAAAAAAGCTGTTTTAGCTATTCTAGATACTTTGCATTTTTCTATGAATTTTAGAATCAGCTAGTCAGTTCCTACAAAAATTCTGACTGGGACTTTGACTGAGAATGCTATGAATCTACAGATTACCTTGGGGAAAACTGACATTTTTTTTTTCTTTAAAAATGTCCTTTATTTTAGGTTCAAGGGGTACACGTGTAGATTTGCTACATGGGTATATTGCATATAGTGGAGATTTCATGTACAGATAATTTTGTCATCCAGGTAATCAGATAATAACTGATAGGCGATTTTTCAATCCTCACCCTCCTCCCACCTCCACCCTCAAGTAGGCCCCAATGTCTATTGTTTCTTTCTTTGTGTCCATGTGTACTCAATGTTTAGCTCCTACTTATAAGTAAGAATATGTGGTATTTGGTTTTCTCCTCCTGAATTAATTAACTTACAATAATGGCCTCCAGCTCCATCCATGTTGCTGCAAAGGCCATTATCTCATTCTTTTTAATAACTGCATAGCATTCCACGGTGTATATGTATTATATTTTCTTTATCCAGCCCACCACTGACGGGCATCTAGAAAATTGACATTTTTAACAATATTGAATCTACTGATCCATAAACAAGATATACAGTCACCATTTATTTAGATTTCTTTTTTTTTTTTTTTTTTTTGAGACAGAGGCTCACTCTGTCACCAAGCCAGAGTGCAGTGGCGCAATCTCGGCTCACTACAACCTCCGCCTCCTGGGTTCAAGCGATTCTCCTGCCTCAGCCTCCCGAGTGGCTGGGACTACAGGCACATACGACCACGTCCAGCTAATTTTTGTATTTTTAGTAGAAATGGGATTTCACCATGTTGGCCAGGATGGTCTCAATCTCTTGACCTTGTGATCCACCTACCTTGGCCTCCCAAAGTGCTGGGATTATAGGTTTGAGCCAACGCACCCAGCCTAGTTAGATTTTTTATTTATCTTAACTATGTTTTAAAGTTTTCAGAGTATAGATCTTCTACATCTTTCTCAGATTTACCCTTACTACAAATGGCATTTGTTGCTTTTTCAGTTTCTAATTGTTCCTTGCTGTTAAACAGAAACAACTTATTTTTGTACATTGAGTTTGTACCTTCAACCTTAGTTAACTCACTTCTTTGTTCTAGCAGCTAGAATATGTGACCTGTGAATAACGACAGTTTCACTTCTTCCTTTCTAATCTAGTTGACTTTTTATCTCTGTTTCTCGCCTAATTGCACTGCGTAGAAGGTGCCAGATAAATGCTGAAAAGAAGCAGTGGTAAGAGGGATGTCCTTGTCTTGTTCCTGATCTTAGGAGAAACTTAACATTCACCACTAAATATGATGTCAGCTTTGGTTTCTCTTAGACATTCTTTTTCAGGGATATTGACTTCTATCCCTAGTTTACTGAGACTTTTTAATCAGGAACAGATGTTGGATTCTGTCAAATGCTTTCTCTGTATCCACTAAGATGCCCATATGGCATTTGTTTTTTACTTTCTTAATATGGTGAATTGTAATGATTGACTATTAAATGTCAAACTAACCTTGCATTTCTAGAATAAACTCTACTTGATCATAATATCTTAACCCTTTTTATATATTGCTGGATTCTATTTGCTAAAATTTAGTTTACAATTGTTACATCTATGTTCACGAATGATACTGCATTGTAGTTTCTTTATCTGGTTTTGGTATCAAGATAATGCTGGTTGTTTTAGGTTGGAGGGTTGATTAGTTCCCTGTTATTCCACCTTAGCCAGAAGTATTCTGCTAAATGTTATTATTACATCTATTCCTTCCTAGCTTAGAAGGTACATATTATTACCATCATTTTATATACAGGAGAAACAAGAAATGGGAAATGCGGAGAAACTGAGGCTCAGAGAACAAGGGGGTACAGCTCTTTCTAGCTCAAAAAAGGGTTTGAATCAAGACAGTAGGAATCTAAAACCCACTCTCAACCTCCTACTACCTTGTAATACTTAAACAGTATTCAAAAAGATTCTCCTTAAACACATAATTTCTTTTTCATTAAGAAATTATATCTCCAAAAGATCCAAGCAGTCTAATCTGGAACCTATGTCTTAATCACTATGGTATTTGTTGAAAAAAAATGAATGTGATATCATAGTTTCTTATATTCCAAGATCTACATAAACTATTAACTACTGAATATACTGAAAACATTACTTAAGAAAAGACAGATGCAATCCAGCTAGGAAGAGCCTCATAAGGATATTCCACAGTCCCAAAAGGCCAACCAAAACAATAACAATAGATGTTACCATTTTAAAATTTTATGTAATCTTCAAAACACATAGTGAAATAAGCACTATTATACATATTTTATAGATGAGGAAATTTGAGACACAACAACATTAAGAAATTTGCTTTAAGTCTGCCATCTCTGAAGTAGCAGAACAGGTATTCAAACTCAAGTCTCTACAACTCCAGAATAGATTCTTAAAATTTGTATTTTAAGTTTTGTTTGTTTGGTTTTCAATTACAATGTTGTCAACCCTAAGAACACGAAGTGCTGCCAAAGGCCTTTTAGGGAACAAGGAAATTCCAACATTAGACTGGAGCAGAGCTTAGTGCCAAATATAGTGGAGCTAAGCTTTGATGGTAATGATGGCAAGCTGGGGTTTCCCAATCTCTGACTAGATTAATCCTGCTTTACTTCATTTTTAAAGCAAGTTTTGTTTTTTGTTTTTTAAAAAACTAGCTGAGAAGACTGGCATGGTGGCATACATCTGTAGTCCCATCTACTCAAGAGGCTAAGGGATGATTATTTGAGCATAGGAGTTTGAGGCCAGCCTGGTCAAAATAGCAGCCAGCTTTTTCTTTACTTTCTGTTTTATTTTGTTTGAGACAGGGTCTCACGCTGTAACTATGGTGATCCCAGGAATCACCTCACCCTCCCAAGTAGCTAAACTACAGGTGCATGCCACCATCTCATCTAATTTTTTGTATTTTTTATAGAGATGGGGTTTTGCCATGTTGCCCAGGCGGTGTCTCTCAGCTTTTCTATATTTCTGATGACTTGCAGTGGGCACAGCATAATGAGCTCGGACCACTAGCTATTGGCTATAATGCAGAATTTCCCTTAAGAGTAAGATGGGACGGTAAAGAGAAAGCATAATTGCTATTCAAATAATTCCAGTCATGAGGCAAGATGGTATAGGGATAAAGAGCCTGGACCCAAGGAAATTGCCAAGGTTCAAATGCTCATCTGCCTCACAGTAGTTGTGAGATCTTGCAAAACTTATTTAACTTCTCTGTGTTTTCATGCCTTCATCTATAAGGTAGGGGTGATCATTTTACCTCTCATAGAGCTAACAATTAAAAGATAGAATACATAAAAATTGTTTAGCACCTGACACTTGGTAGGTCCTGTTTAAATTTTGCTATCAATTTATCAATTATTGTTATTCCTACAGTAAATAAGAAAAAAATTACATGTGTTTCAAAGGCCCTTTAGAGAGTCCTTAGTAAAAATAACTTTAATGTTTCTCATGGCAATATATTTAAAAACACAGTCCTAGAAAGGTGGCATATCTATATTAGTGTCCTAAAAATGGCTTTGGAAACTGATTTCCAGCATCTTCTAAAAGCAAACAATTTTAAAAACATTAGCAGAGAAAATTGGACATAATTCATTAAAATAAAGTAAATCACTCAATTCCACTAAAGTAGAATTGAACATCTACTATGTGTTCAGCATTATGCACTCGATTAAAGGGCATACAAAATCTAGACGTGTTCTCAATAAGCTTAAAATATAATACATAAATACAAATACAAAAACACAAAAATGTATACATAAAAGACAATAAGGCAAAGTACAAGTAAATGTGAGAGTAGCACATAACTCTAGAAGAAATTCTCAAGTGTCATTAAAATATATGAGTTTAATTAACAGAATAAAAAAAGCATATGTGTGTATGTTTAGTGCCATTCTTAATGCTAGTGTCAAAAACAAGCTCAAATGACTGTTATTTTATATTATAAATTATTAAGGAATTACCTGAACAACAACAAAAAAAGAGGGTTATTTGATAATTCTCATTGTAACTTACTGTTGCTATTCTGGTCTGGAGAAAGTTCTCCCTTTCTTCATCTACCTTAATTTCATGTCCATTTTTAAAAAATTCAAGCATTTTGGGGATGTCACGGCCAATGGAATCTAGTTAGAAAAAGTAAAATCCACAATTATCACTCCAAATAAGTAGCAAAAATTACTGAATGAAAGAAACACATATCTCACGTGAAGATACAGCAAATAAGTTGTGGCAGCTGACAGACTAGTTCCAAAGTGCTCTATTTCCTGGCATTCATGCTCTTGTGTGATCTCCTCCCATTGAGTGTGAAAAAAACTTGCAACTTGCTTCAAGCCAAGAGACAGAATGATCATGTGTACACAATTACATTACATAAAGCTATAATGCCTGTCTTGGAGAAGACTCTCTTCCTTACTGGCTTTGAAGAAACAAGCTACAATGCTATCAACTGCCATATAGAGAGGGCCACAGGACAATAAGCTGAGAGCAGTCTCAAGCTAACAGCCAGTAGGAAACTGAAGCCCTGTGTCCAGTACCCTACAGGAACTGAATTCTGCCAAGTGTGTAAGTCTGGAAGCGAACCCATCACCCATTTAGTCTCAGATGAAATCACCTCTCTGGCCAACACCTTGAGTGGAGCTTTGTGAGACATTAAGCAGAAAACTCAACTAAGCTACACATACAGTCCTGACACACAGAAATGGTGAGATAATAAATGTCTATTGTTTCAAGCAACTATTTGTGGTAATGTTGCTGCACCATTATGGATAATACATAAGTATACGCAATAACGATATATGGCATATCTTAAAAACAAAGATGATATATTAACATAAAGTCTATAAAATAATCTATGGCAAAAGATAACAATGGTTGGGTGCAATGGCTCATGGCTGTAATCCCAGTGCTTTGGGAGGCCAAGGTGGGCAGATCACCTGAGGTCAAGAGTTCAAGATGAGCCTGGCCAACATGGTGAAAACCCATCTCTACGAAAAATGCAAAAATCAGCTGGGCATGGTGGCGCATACCTGTAATCCCAGCTACCTGGGAGGCTGAGGCAAGAGCATCACTTGAACCCAGGAGCTAGAGATTGCAGTGAGCTGAGATCATGCCACTGTACTCCAGCCTGGGCAGCAGAGTGAGACTATGTGAAAAAAAAAAAAAAAAAAAAAAGACAGTACAGTCTTAAATCTTTTAGGAACCTTTTATCCACCATACATAAGTGGAAAAAAAAAATACTAGAAAGCAGAAACATTTAACAGTGGAAACAGTATCATAGGGAATGATACAGTCTGGAGATAGCTCATTCTTACACAAATGGTTATAAAAAGTGGCTTGAGGCCGGGGTATGGTGGCTCATGCCTGTTAATACCAGTATTTTGGGAAGTCAAGGCAGGTGGATCACTTGAGGTCAGGAGTTCAAGACCAGCCTGGACAACATGGCGAAACCCAGTCTACTAAAATTACAAAAATTAGTTGGGCATGGTGGCAGGCACCTGTAATCCCAGCTACTTAAGAGGCTGAGGCAGGAGAATTGCTTGAACCTGGGAGACAGAGGTTACAGTGAGCCAAGACCAAGCCACTGCGCTCCAGCCTGCGTGACAGGGTGAGACTCTGTCTCAAAACAAACAAACAAACAAACAGGCATGGTGGCTCATGCCTGTAATCCCAGCACTTTGGGAGGCACAGGCGGGCAGATTACTTGAGGTTGGGCGCTCAAGACAATGGCCAACATGGCGAAACCCCATCTCTACTAAAAATACAAAAACTAGCTGGGTGTGATAATGCATGCCTGTAATCCCAGCTACTTGGGAGGCTGAGGCAGAAGGATAGCTTGAACCCAGGAGGCAGAGGTTGTACTGAGCCAAGATCATGCCACTCTACTCCAGCCTGGGAGAGAAAGCTAAACTCCATAAAAAAAAAAAAAAAAAAAAAGAAAAAGAAAGAAAGAAAAGAGAAAGGAAAAGGGAAGGGGAAGGGAAAAGAAGGGAAAGGGAAGGGGAAGGAAGGAAAAGGAAAGGAAAGGGAAGGGGAAGGAAAGCAGAAGAAACTGGCATGAGAAAATAATAAAAAATTCAAACAATTTATTGGATTCTAATGTCACCTTGTACTCCATTAGTGTAGAGAAAGGGATGCAACTAAATACAGTAAGGAGAAAAATTGAATCAGGATAAAAATTAAAAATCTTCAAAGGATCATACATGAGACTACAAAAATAAACTATTAGTCTCCTAAGACTTAGTCATTATCATTTTAACACAAATTTAATAAACAAAAATATGGTATATTTCACTATGCCATAACTTAACTTGAAAACTTAATTCCAGGCACAGAAAAATGTGAATTATTTAAAGGGTAAGAAATACAATGAAGACTGTGCCACTGAAGAGACACCACTCACACCATGCTCAAGCAAGTGTTCCCTAGATGAGTCAATGTGAGGAACTCATTACATGGAGAGCACCGCATACCCTCAGCATACATTATTCCTAGGATTAGCTGAGGAGTTGTTCAATTGGCTCAGGAGCACTACAGCTATAAATAAAAGCAACGACCCATGGGCGGTTTACAATCTAATTGGGAGATAATGGATATACAAATGAATAATTACTAAAAGAAACAAAGTTTTTTCAGAATCATAGTTTGATGTAACTGAGTATTAAACAGTATGACAAAACTGTATACTAGTAAACGGTAAGATGCTAATATTGGTATACAAAAAACAAATACCTTCTTAAACCATCTACATCTCTATTTAAATTTCTTAATTTTTTTTAAAGTTTGTTTTCATAAGAACAGTGCCCTGTACATACTAAAAGCTCAAAAATTATTTAGTGACTGACCTAAATCTAAGCCCACAACACTTCCTGCCTTCCTGTCACTATGGGTGAACTGTCTATGCCCATAACAAAGGCCATTCCTCTTCATTTGTGTGCTCGACCTCACTTCTACTCATCCATAAAAGGACACTGCTCCTCCCTTCTTTCCTCTATATTGTCGATTTTCCCCGCTACCCTAGATAATCTTCATTAGCTTACAAACTTGCTACAAAATCTCCCTTTTCAAAATAAAATAAACAAGTCTCCTATGTTGCCTTCCAGTTACCATTCAACATTCCTCTTAAGAACATAAGATCTAAATTTAAAAAGTCATCCCTACTTTCTCTCCTTTTCTTTTTTTTTTTTTTTTTGAGACAGAGTTTCGCTCTTGTTACCCAGGCTGGAGTGCAATGGCACAATCTCAGCTCACCGCAACCTCCGCCTCCCGGGTTCAGGAGCTGGGATTACAGGCACGCACCACCATGCCCAGCTAATGTTTTGTATTTTTAGTAGAAACAGGGTTTGACCATGTTGACGAGAATGGTCTCGATCTCTTGACCTCGTGATCCGCCCGCCTCGGCCTCCCAAAGTGCTGGGATTATAGGCGTGAGCCACCGTGCCCAGCCTATCCTTTATTTTCTTATACCTACTTCAGTAACCTTCACATTGGCAAATTCAGTAGTCATTTCTCAGTGTTCCTCTGACTTGACCTATCAGCAGCAGTTCACAGAGTAATCTGTCCTCTTTCTACAGTATCTTGACTTGTCCTCTGACACACAATTGTCACTGGCTATTTCGTCTCATTTTAAGGGCTGAGCCACCCACCCTCACTTAGTTGCCTTCCAAAGGTTGAACTACCTCAGGGATCAATCATCTGACTTCTCTTAACCTATCCATGCACACCTCCCTAACTGATCTCAGGCAGACACATGGCTTTAAAAACCATCTATCCACTGATAATTGCTAAATTTATATCTCTAACCACAATCTCTCTCATGATTTCCAACCACCAACTTGATACCTCCACCTAGATGCAGACAAGTTATTAGTAAGTAGTCAAATTGACAAATGCCTCCTGGAAGAAAAAGGACTTCATAATTTTGATCCTGATATCGTACTGATGATGTAATGGTAATGGAGAGAGAAAGAACAGGACTCAAGAAGAAAAGAGAAATCGTTCTGCATTAAAATACGCTGAAGTGTAATCCCAGCACTTTAGGAGGCTGATGTGGGTGGATCCCCCGAGGTCAAGAGTTCGAGACCAGTCTGCCCGACATAGTGAAGCCCCATCTCTACTAAAATCAAAAAAATTAGCTGGGTGTGGTGGCAGGCACCTATAATCCCAGCTACTCAGGAGGCTGAGGATTGCTTGAACCCAGGAGGTGGAAGTTGCAGTGAGCCACGATCGCACCACTGCACTCCAGCCTGGGTAACAAGACTGAAACTTTGTCTTAAAAAGAAAAAATACTTAAGTGAAGGTCTGATGGAATATCAAAAAATGTATATATTTATATAGTTAGAAAAAGGAACTAGAAAAGGTGATAGGCTGAAGGTGATGTAGATTTTAGTTTTTAAGATAGTTCCATCCTAAAACAAACACAAATAAAACTTCCTTCCTTTGACCTTATATACTCCTTCTTCTGTATCTAATTTGCATCTCCCCAATAACCAAGATGTTTAGTATTAATTCACCTGTTTAAAGGCCATTTTTTTGAGATGGAGTCTCGTTCTGTCGCCCAGGCTGAAGTGCAGTGGCACGATTTCCACTCACTGCAACCTCTGCCTCCTGGGTTCAAGCAATTCTCCTGTCTCAGCCTCCTGAATAGCTGAGATGACAGGCATACACCACTGCATCCAGCTAATTTTCATATTTTTAGTAGAAACAGAGTTTCACCATGTTGGCCAGGCTGGTCTCGAACTCCTGACCTCAGGTGATCCACCTGCCTTGGCCTCCCAAAGTGCTGGGATTACAGGCATGAGCCACCGTGCCTGACCACATATATTCTTTTGTACAATACCTACTCAACTCTTTTGCCCCCTTTAAAAAAAAATTAGGTTGGCAGTCTTACTGAGTTATGACTTCTTTATGTATTTTGGATATAGGTTCTTGGTCAAAGCTATGTGTGGCAAGTATTTTCCCCTAATCTGTGACTTGCCTTTTCATTTTCTTAGGGGTATCCACTCATGAGCAAATTTTTTTCATTTTGATGAAGTCCAAATTAGCAATTTTTTCTTCTATAGCTCATGCTTTTTGTGCCCTAAGAAATATTTACTCAATTCAAGGCCATGAAGATTTTCTCCTAGAA